CATGAAATTTCGAAAATACAAAAAATGTAAATCATTGCAACCGATTTTGTAACGTTACATACATTTCATTTGTCCCTTTCCACTTAACTGTAGTAAAATGTTGAACTACAGATACTTTCCGATCAAATCAGCATCCAAACCTTCTAAAAGATGTTTGAAGTTGCATTCGCATTTAACACGGCTTATCTATGCCATTTAAAGTAAATCTTTTACGGACTCTTTGATTCATTGGTGGTTGTTATTGTTGCTACTGCTGCTCGTATTGTGGTTTTGTTCTAAATAGATACACATGGACAATTGCAATGAATGTCTTTTCAATTCATTTGAATCATGAACCATAAAAACAAAATTATGAATGTACTATTATCCACCGCACCCCTTCGCCACCGCCACTTTACATATCTGTCATAAACAACAGCAACAACATCAGTTCCTATGAATGAAGCAACAAATGAATGAATGGACGGACGGACGAACAAACGAACGAACGGACGAGTTAAAGTAGATGCAACAGCAACATTCTATATTTAAATGTAGGCAGCGTAGAAGAAAATAAATGCAGATTTTGTTTTACATTTGTGGTTGTTGTTGTCAAATGCAGTGTGGAACAAACAACAGCAGCAACAAAAATAGACAAAAAAGAACAGCATGTAATGCACTTAACTACATTTAAGTGAAATGTATGAATACAATTTAGTCTCATGTATGTATATATGCATATATATGGGACATATATGAGTCTGCATTAAACTACCAAATGGTTTGCCATAATGTGTATCTTATACCTGAAGATCGCATAATTGATTAATGATATATTTCAGGGAAAATCAAAAATTGGTTTGCCCCAAATTTATCTATTTGAGATGTATCCCCACCGCCGTGATCTTAGCTGCATCCATTTTCATCAGTGATTTATGTAAATTTCAATCAATTCAGTTCTGTTTTCCAACCAATCGTATAACAATGTTATAAGACGCATATAATTTGCACAAAAACTTATTTTGGTAATTTTGGCCCATTTTTCCATATTTACGACGTTTCTTTTTCAATTTCAATAACTAAATGTATATAAAAAAGTATATAATGCAATTAATAGCAATTAATAGCAATTCAGTTTAAAAAAAAAACTTTATCCGCCGCTCCTCCACCGCTAATTATGAATGCCACAAAACTAATTCTAGTACTAAATCCAAAAATCCCATGCGTGTGAAATCATTTGTCTTGTGACAGAATAAAAAGAAACCCCCAAAGAAAATGGCATGTCAACGTATGGAAGTTGAAGTTGGAAGACGAAGGCGACGCGATGAAAAATAGTTTTTGCATAAATCTTAAATTAATTCACAAAATGCATCTGATGACGTTAACAGATGCAGTAAGATGTGATAGCACATGTGTGTGTGTGTGAGCAATACATATACATATATATGGAGTAAAAATATGCGTACACGTTTGTTTATAAGAGTGCCTTCATAAATAACAATCCAAAGAACATTTTCTAATATGTCACAACAAAAATTGATTTCCATGGCAAAGTGTATTTGCGACAAATCTTAACGAGGACAATACAATAATATTGACATTCAAATTGTTTCTGCATTTACAGATGTCATTAAGTTTTAATGCGGCTGGGGAGATTTGTCTGGTTTCGTGGTTTATTACATAATTATATACACATATGCATTTTTAGATCTATGTACATTTAGTTGAAATACTCTAATATTCGACCGCACATACATCTTCATGTGTTGCAGGTTCATGAATACATTTATTTGGCCTGCGTTGCAGTAATCGTGTGTGTGTGTATGTGTTTATGTATGTGCGTATGCAACATTTTTGAATTGGAAGCTATGAATGTAAAGTGTAAATCCAAGCAACCCAACCACCTATTCAGTTGTCTTCACTGTGTCGTTGTTCTTGTTTGTCTTCCACAAAGCGAAGAAGCCCTCCATTCAAGAAAACCAAAATTATTAGATATACATCCCCCTTCTGTCCCATCGCTCTCTGACAAGTACTCAACTATTAGAATTTGTGCCTTTATGGTGATTTTTCTTAAAGTTTACTTTTCGTTATGGGTTTCCTCTCGGTGGCAACTGTTGCAATGCCATGTGAACGTGTGTTGTGCCAGTTGCAGCATTATGTAGCATGTAGCAGCAACTGCAAGCAATGTGTAATAGAAGAAGCTGTTTGCTGCAAGGCAGCAATTTGGTGTTTCCCTGTGAACATGTCTTGGCTGAATGACTGCAGCACTCATTGCGGTTAGTTTGCCTTGCCTGGCATTTTAGTTTGTCTGTCGATTTCTTTCACAGCTTGGACTTGGAATTTGAAATGGTGAGAAAAGTTGAGAAGTGTGTTATTAAAACTAAGAAGGAAAAAACTTTAAAATTGTTAGTTTGTTTGAGAGAAGAAGGTAACTAATATCACTACTCAAATTAAATGCTACCATGTGAATTCAATGTTAACCCACAGATTAGCAATGGACCATAAGTAGAGACTGGTATAAGAAAGATATGTGGAAATTGGGTAGATGCATGTCTTTCTGAAATTTTTATATTATATATATATATATTTCGGCTTATTGTAAATGCTTGAAAAGGGTTTTACGAAAGAAAATGCTTGAATTGTACCAGGTTATATACAGATTATATAAAAATGTATCCCTAATGGTGTTTTTTTAAATTTTCCTTTTCTACTGTTCCAGAGGGTAATTCAATTTAAGTTCATTTACTAGTCCATTGAACGTACTAAAATTGTAAATAGAGAATGTTAATCAATTTTTATTTTAATGTTATATGGTGACTAGTTTTCAGTTGCATATTTTCTCCCAATAGCGGATTTGCGATGATATTGTTTCGATCGTAATTTCAAAATATATATATCTGTTTTCCAACGATTATGAATGTTTCCAAAAGCCACATTAATCCCATATTATGAACAAAATTCACTTGTTTTCTTATAATGCCTATTATTATTGAGAATATACAATACTGCAACATTTGTTGATTATTTCCCGCAAATTTGTTAACCTACATCTTCTAATTAAAAAACACAACTACTTGCCAGATATTTCCAATAGACTAATGTAGCGCAACAGTACCGTCACCAAATCGAGCCATGTAAAAAGGAGATGAAGATGAATAGCCAAGTATTTTGAATAGTTTAAGGAAGTTTACTATAGCAGAAGACAACGAAAACGACCAAATCCGAAATGAAATTCGTGGCACACAGAAAACAGAACCGCAACAGCAGATGTAGAAATGGAGTTGAGTGAATAAGTGAATGAATGACGGACTGAGTGAGTGACGAACTGGCTGACTGAACGAGAAGCACCAACCGAAGCTGAAATACAAATGTGAGGCTATTAATATAATTCCTCACTTTGTTCTTTGCCAAAATATTTTTAGTCGCCAAAGCGTCAACAATTATCCAAAGTGCAACAACACCAAATGCGGGCTATGGAAATGGAAATGAAGCCACAACAATTCCTTGCATGCACCAACACACGCACACTCACACATATGCACGTCCTCGTCATCCATCGAATGAATGCCTGGGCCGAATACTTTTTTCGCACTTCGTTGGCAGATAACTGCAATAGATATTGGAGTTGATCCATCATTCTAATAAACTCAATTTTCAAATGAGGTTAGCAAAGTGAATGAAGTCGTATAAATCAAAGGCAAAGAAATCGATAAATATTATTTCGAAGAAGAAAAGTAGTTTTGTATTTGTGAAACTTAGCAAAATTAAATTGTGGAGAATTTCATTTAATTTATAGCATTTGCAAAAAAAAAAAATCTTTCAAAATATCTGAAGATCTGTTTATATTTTTCAAAGGTGAAAAGTCGAAGCCGTAAGTAAGTAACTAGAAAACATTTATGTATAGTAATACATTAAATATTTTAATAATACCAAACCCAATAAATATATTTTACAGAAAAAATTAATCTCTGTTTTTGTTAAAACAGATATACTGAAAAAAATTATCTGTTAAAAAATATTTTTTTTACAAAAACAAATTGTGTTAATTTGATACCTTTGGGTTATTTTTTTTTTATTCGTTTGCATTGTCATCTCTAATTATTTAGATTTTTCTGTTCTTAACTAATTGACTCTGAATGGGTTCACTCTTCGCGACAATAAACATTGGCGCATCACCCTTTAATTATCTATGCTGACAAAGTTGCAGATCCATCTGTTGGCTCATTTACAATTTATACACATGAATAAATTTCACAAACATGGCATTTAAACGCAAATATCGGTTCAGCATAAATGTGTTGGAATTTGCACTTTTATTTTAGAAAAACAAATTTACAAATTCAAATATTGTCCGATTTTCTAGAGAATTATTCATTTTCTACTAACAATATTGGCCTCATAGGAATTGAAATATGGCCTTAACTATTGAAATAGAATGGGACCAATTATGGTTCCTTTTGAATGTAGGCATAAGACTTAGTACCAACTTAGACTTAGACTACCAACAATATTTGTGAGACATTCAACAAATTATGGGAAAATTTGCTGGAACCAATTTTCTGAAATGTTACTTGAGGGCCAATATTCATTTGATGTAGCTATACTGGCTATATATTACTATACATTTTACACACTTGGCTTAAATTTAAAAAATCCAAAAATATTCTTTAAAAAATCCACGCCTCTTATAGTCCCTATGGTAGACCTTGAAAACATATTCTTTAATAAATCCATGCCTCTGATATCCCTGCATGAATTGAAACGCTGAATTTGGAGACAAAGAAAAGTTGACTTATTTAGAAAACAAATGACATTAAACTATTGCTCTCAACAGCTAAACATTTTCAAGGAAAAGAACAGATTGTGTGGAGAACATTTCCCTTAATGGGTTGGTAGTCTTGGGGAATAGTTAATTGTTCTTATATTGACCGATTCAAACTTAGTATTTATAAAACCCGATGATAGTCAGCATCTCCGATATAGAATTCAAAGGAAAATTACTAGTATAATTCAATACCTACCCTGGATCATTTGGCACCTCGGATGGCGATGCCAACTCCTGTTGAGCGGTTGTTGTTTGCTGTTGATCGATTTTCATGTCCATGCTGATGATGTTGCTCTTACTGACGATGGTGATGATGACGAGTAAAAAACCAAACAGAAATTCTCTTTAATCAATGGAAAGACGATGTGGTTGGAGAGTGTGCGTTTTGTTATTTAAAAAGTGGTTAGGAGGTGAGAACTTTAATTTCAATTTTCTTATTCTTAAAAAATGTATTTCTAAAGACCTTACTTTAAATATTTCAACTATTTTTTGCGCAATTTCACACAAAGGCAACACTTGATCACTTAACTAGATTTTATTAATTAATTTATTATATTAGTTTTATGGTTTGAGTTAACTTTATTTTGTACGATTCTAAAGCGGCACAATACACAGAAGCTTGGTTTTATTTCATTATTTTATTTTATTTTTTTCTTTGTTCGAATAAAAAACGTAGAAAAAGTGAAAATCTTTTAAAATAAAGTTTTTAACGATATTGCGGTATGTTTTAAAATATTTTTAATTTATTTTTTCTTTTATTGACACATTTGTTTGTGAGGACAATTAATTTTTTTTTTCAATAATTATTTTTTTTATCGAACAATTTTCAATTACTGGCTTACTGTTTGTTATTTAGGTTTTTTTGGAAATACAAAAAACGAACACACTTTAGAGCACTTTCCGTCGAAGAACAATTGTGTCGAATGACGTGGAGCGACAGAGAAAGATAGATAGACAAGCGACAGATAGTATAAATGATTTACGACTTTTCCCAAATAGAATTTTCAATGTAATGGAAAATCGACTTATTTATTTAAATTTAGCACTTTGTTTTATTTTCTTGACGTTTATTAAAACTGGATTTATTTTTATGTATTGAGATTTTTTAAATTGATTTTTGGTTGTTTGTTTTGTTTTGTTTTCCTCTTGCTATGCACTTTTTAATTTAAAGTTGACTATAAGGCTTGTTTGTTTTGCAATTTGATTTCTTGTTTTGCCTGTTGGTGTTTTCTTTACAAATGTTGTGTTGTGTTGTGATCTACCTCAAAGATACTAAAGACTACAACTACACTGCCTGCAACAAAGAAACAAAGAAAGAAAAAATGCAACAACAATTAAGTTGGATTATACATTTAACAAATATATAGTAGGGCCTAAAGTTTTTAATTTTTGGGAGTCGTATACAAACATATAATTTAAAATTCATCGGCTACAATCGCAAGACAGGCAGTTAGTTATCGTAGAATTCAAAATATAAACAAAAAAATACTACAGTATTAAAATATTTCTTCCCTGAGAAGAAATTATAAATTCCTATATTAAAACATTGCTTGGGTTTCAATACTATTGGCCATCTATAAGAAGACTCGTGGGTTTCTACAACGAGACATTTCAGTCATATATAAGAAGTTCATTTCTTTACCTGCTATAAGAATAATCGTTGTTATTTAAGAAGAAAATATTTAGTACTCTACTCTAGAGAAGTTCTTCATACTCTTGAGGTCCTTATTTGTCAGTTTGATTAATTTTTAGTTATTAATTCAACTCTGAAAATCCAGAAAGACCTTGAAGGTTATATTGGGTTTGCTTCTATTCACCAAAATTTGAAAATAATAGATGTTAATTTGCGCTTACAAATCATCAGTATTTAGAAATTTTGGTCTATGTTTTGACATGTAACGATACTAAAATTTACTATTGAAAATATCTTTACGATGTTAAAGAATTTTATAATAAATTCGGTAACGCTGTACCATATTAACCACATACAGCTCTCCTTGCAGCTTATTAACATTTTATGACTTAATTAAGAACAATTTTTTTTTCAATTTCTGTTAATTGTATTTTAAATGTCAAATTAATTTTTTATACTCAATGTGCCCTTTGCATGATTTTTTCGTTATATGGAATATGCATGTATGTATATGTATTTATCAAGTGAGACTATTCCGAACAACAGAATCTCCAAAAAAATATACACATGTCAGCAATTTATAATTGTTTTCAATTTTTCCTTAAATTCACTACAGTGATGTTGAAAATTGAACATATTATTATTATTTATTTTATAGTGATACATCGAATGTAATTATTTAGCTTACTATTGCTTCCATATTTGCAATTAAGAATTGACACCGCAATTTTCTGACATATCTTAGCGCCTACACTTAATTCCCACCTATTTTGCATTCTTTGTCTTTCTTCTTACACTGGAATTTTATTGCACAGTGCATTTTGTTGCCATTAATTTAACCATCATAGTAATCAAGTTGATATATTTATATGGCAGCAATTCATTCATATTTGATACATACTCACACTTACACACAGTTATTCTTCTCTATATGTGTGAGTGAGTGTCCGTAGATGGGATGCATGTGAAACCAATAAACAAACGCGCTAACTGCCAATCAAGTATACACGTGACTACGTAATTACAACAATTGCACTGGTTCGCCAGCTTCGACTGCATGTTAACACATTCATTGTCACATACAGACATACGTACGTACATACCATATTTGCAATAGACTACTGCTGCAAATGGTGTATGTTTGTGAGTGTGTAGACGTTAGACGTTTGTTCCAAATATACGTAATATGCATTGTTATTGTTGTATGTCTACGTCGTTTAATTCATACATATGATGAGGATGATGATGTTCGTCCAAGTCATCTACATGGTATTCATACCTAAATGTTTGTTTGATTCCAATAGATGGTTGGTTGGTTGGATGGATGGATGAATGAATAGACGAATAGATGTGTCTACTTCTATTTGATGGCCATTCGATTTGGTGTGAGGCCGTTTTCAAAGATATTGCTGTCGCTGTTGGCGGGGAAAGGGGTCTTTGTGGCAATGTTTATGATTGTTACTCATGTTTAATTATATTTCTATAATTTATGGTGGCATTTTGAGAGATAAATATATCTATTAATAATTTAAAATACAGCAGCATCTGAAAAATGATAATCTATGCCTAATACAATTATGTTCACACTTAAACATTTTTATTTGCAATATTAGTAATATTGTGGCGTGTATTTGAATTTTGTACTTCGTTCGAGGTAATCATTTTTACAGTATCGCTATGAAGAATGATCGTGAATATAAACGTTGAGGCATGGAATGGAATGTGTTTCAGAATTGATTTCTGGGAGGGAATTCAAATTTTGAACTCATAAGCAAAAGTCGAGTAAACGTTTTAAAACTTATACCTGTACATAAAGTATCGTTCCAGAACCCGAAAGAATCTACTTATTTTACAAGTTTTGCATCTTTTTACTTGAAACCTTTTTCTGAACCCACTAAACTGGTAAAACATTGAACCAAATTTAAGAGAACACAAAACAAAATGACGTTCTCTTTGTACACTTTTTACTCGAAAAATTTGTCCGAGTAAAAATGATAAACAGGAACATGAAGTATTGTCATCTAATTTTGGCATATTTACTAGATTTTCGTTCCCGAACTTTTCAAATTATTTTGTACTCTGAGAGTGATTTTGAGATGTTTCCTTTTTACTGGCTTTGCTATTAAAAAAGTACTGGAACTGACCAAATGTAGTCAAATATTCATTTTGAAATTAGATTTTTAAGGTATTTTAAATATTTTTATACATTAGTTTTGATTTAAATGCCTTGTACATAGCTGCACTTTGTATTTAGCTGTTCAAAATCAAAATTGATCGAGTATTCCAGAAAATGTAACATTGCCCTATTTTTATGCAGTAATTTCACTTACGTGCACTTTGAGGTAGGAAAGAGATTTAAGATATCTGAACTTTTGACTGTACCGCACAGAAATAATTGCATTGTAGCTCAGAGGGGCAGAGTTCAGAGATAATGCCCGAACTTGAACTTTTTGTGTAGATAAATTCTATTATGGTACCAAAACAGCATATTTATTCGCGAGACGTTCTATATATCGATATAAATATAATATGGACCTTGTTTTCTCGCATTGGAAAAAGGCTCTACTAGAACTTGATAGCTTTCGGATCATTAGTCAAATTATATATTTTTAATGCCATAATGAACATTTAATTTTGAGAATGAAAGATATTGATATTGTAGAAAATAATAATACTAATGCTTGAATTAATATTTAATAATATTTAATAATAAATATTTATGTCTCTGGTTGCAGTTAATCCAGGTTACTTTGAGGTGACCTATCATCACTGAAACCGAAAGATTGATATTTTTCAATTTTGTGAAAATGTCATGTATTTTCCATTATTGATAATTTGTTATAGGACCAAACGATTTGGCAGAAAATTCTTTTTGAGTTTTCAATTGACTCCCACCTTACAAAAACAGAGGAAATTCAACCACTTCTCAATCGGAATGTGTATTTAAAAGATTCATATGAATGTGAAGTCATGTATAGCGAATCAAATGCGGTAAAGGACAATTAAAACTTAAAAATACTGTTTTCCTTCCCTTCATCGCAATTCATGGCATCCCAAATACAGTTTACATCTGCAAAAGGTCAACATCAAAAATGCATTACTCTATAATATTAAAAATTGACAAATGAGAAGTATACTTCTCTGGACTTTTATTATACTAGCCAATGTGTTTCTTCTTCAAAATTTAAGACCGTCTTGACATTAACATGATTTTCAACCGAGTTGCTTTGATTTGCAAAGTAAGACGAAGATGCCGTAAACCATATCACACACTTTTGGAGGAATCACACAAAATTGGGCGCATTCTGACTTCACTTGTTAACAAACAGTCAACAGACTATCGAGTAAGGACTTCCTAGTCAATATGGAAGAGACTTTGAAGTACTTACTTCATTTACTGCTAATATTGTCTAAACATGTATTTCCTAACGAAAATTTTTAAAACTATTTAACAAGCTTTTGCTAGTGTCCATACGTGGTCCAGAGCGATTAAAAAAATCAAAGATCCATGTGAAGGTTTTATAGTTTCCTTCCTTTGTCGTCGTATCATCAATACAGAATTTTGTCTACCAATCCATTCAAAAAAAATAATATCTAAAATGTTTTAAACTTTTTACTCGAAAATTACTCCTGTGCCCACGTCGAAATCGTATTTAATGTAATGAAAGCAGTAAGTGTTATTTATTTCAATAATTTCACTTATACATTTCTATTTTCCCGACGGCAAACTCAAACTATTGTAGACAGACTATAGAATTAAATCATTTCTCCCTTAAACAAATATGATCTAGTCAAGATTACGTTTTACAATGTAAACGTAAACCTTATGACGTAAACTTTATTATAATTGTCTGGCGACCTGTAATTCGCTTCATGTTAAATTGCATATTGAATAAAATAAATCTACTTTGTAAGTCATAATTGCAAAATCCCTCATCTAAATTGTATTCAATAAATTTCAATTTATTGTGTAAAAACTAGTTTTTTATTATTGAAAAATGTGTGATTATGAAAAAGACCAGAAAAGGGTTAAGATAAGTAAATAAAATGGAATTTTAGTTTTGCTTGCTTGACAGCAGTGCTTTCAAATGAAACTCTAGATTAAAAAAAAAAAACAATTTACTTTTTCTGAGTAGTTATCATTTAATTAATACAACACACATGTTATGGGAATTATGCACACTCAGATATCGAACATTTATCCCGCCAATTCGTGTAAATTCCGTTTTACTTTTCAACTCAGATTGAAAATAACCATAAACTTCATTGTAAGTTATCGCAAAACAATTCCCAAGTGGAAACATTTCTAAGGTTTCTCCCATTAGTTGTATTCTACCAATTACGCAAACTGCGGAATAATCACTTGAAATCCCCCCTCCTCCTCTCCTTCTTCACTCTCATTACTCGATTGCACTTTGAACTTTGTGGAAAAAAAGTTCAACTTGAAACTTTATTCGTGCAAACAACTTCTAATTATCATTACCACCACCCACACAATGGCAAGAAATAGTTAAGGTATCACTTGAGAATTTACACACACACAAACACACGCACAGACGGACACACAGGTAAATCCCACAAAAACTTGGAAATTCCATAACACTCTCCTTCGGCTTACACGTTAACGAGGATACGGAAATAACAATGCGTTTATCAATCGGACGAGAAGCACAACAACAATGAACGAATAAACGAACGAACATTGGTAAAAACAAGCACGAAGGTAAATGAGATTGGAGTTACAACGAATAATCAGCTGTTACAATCTTGAAAAAGGCAACAACAACAACCGAAACCTGAACAGAATCAGCTGAGCTGCAATGAAACTCTCCGAAAGAGGAGGTGGGGAACGGGGGGTTGCAGAGCAAATATGTATTCAACTGCAAACGAGTTAAGCGCCACCACAATAACAATAACATTGACCGTTTGTTTATGTGCGAAGATACTTGAAGCCGGTGTCCGGTGGTCGTTCGTCAATTGATGTAACCAATGGAATATTTGTGTGTGTGAATGTGTTTGTGCCTAAGTATCAAAGAGGAAATAACCGGCATAGTGTGTTATTGTTAAACAATGAATATTTCTAGCAATATATTCACACAATACACGTCAAATGAATCATAACAAATCCGTTTATCACAATAATAGGAGTAAACATAAACACACCTAAAGCTAACCTAATTCCTCCCAACCAACCGTGCAAAATTAAAAATACGAACAGATGAAGATGTTTACAACTCTATTTTAACCAAAATTATTGAGTCCACTATACGCCTTAAATACACTCACTGACATGTCCGATGCCGTATAAAATTAACAATTCGTGTTGGCTAATTACAATAACAATTACTTGTGACTACAAATCTTCATTTTTTAAACAATTTGTAATTCAATACATCATTTGAGCTATTTGCAAAATGTCAGACAATAACTGGACATACTGACATGGGACCTAAGGAACACAAAAACGCGCGATAACGAAACTGTAAACAAAAACTTTAAAGATACCGGCAATGACCAAGCGTCACATAGCAAAAAATTGCATTGTCGTCTTCATTATCAACGGCAGCAGCAGAACTCTAGAGATATGCTCGGAATGATAATGAGAAAAGCAAATGCAATTTTAAAGGCCAGGCGGCAAGGGTAGCCGGGTGACGGTTATGAAGGAGGAAGATGACGCCGCGGCAGCACACTTCGTAACGCACTTTTCGCACGAGTTTCGTTTGCATGGAGATGGGACGTATATTCAAATATTCCCAAAGAGCAACTACTATATGCCAAATAGCAAAAAAAAGAGAGTGAGAGTCTTGTTGAGGTGGCTGCAATTTTGTTTTTGGTAGGTGGGTGGTAAATAAATAAACCTTTTGCCTATTCACACATACACTCACATATACCCAGACAGACATTCACTAGCGTGCAAATGCAATGAGAACGAACAAATTTTGCATAGACCCCCAAAAAGAAATAGGCCTCAATTTTTCTGTTGTTATTGTTTTTGTATTTGCTTTTTGTTGTTGTTCTGTTCATCATTGCTTGTTTGAATAAAAACTTGAATTGGAGGAAAAATAATCAATTTTTCAAAACAGCAATTTTGTATTGAAATCACACATAAACTCAATTCATAATAAAAATATTCTATTTCATTTTGCTTTGTTTCGATTTGATTTATTTTCACATTCTTTTCGGTATTTCCTACAACTTGTGTTTCACTAGTTTCAATTGATTTCCAATCGAATTCAATTTTGAATTTCTATTAATTTTAAAAAACTTTTTTTGTGTCGAACGGTTGTTTAGTCGTTGGGTCGATCGGCCGGTCGACAACAATTATTTATTTATTTGTTATTACACTAATTCTAGGATGGAACACCACAAACACTTGTCGTCGCTGTGATGGAGAACACACAGCGCTCTGCTAATAATCTTCGATAGGTAAATGTATAGGTAATAGAAGCAAGCGCTCGCGACAACTACCGACACGATACTGTTTGCTAAACTGTCTTTCACATGCGACGTAACTCGATGAGGAGATAGATGTATTCTTCACAATAATGCCGAAATACGAACGCTTTACTGGCTGGCTGGTTGGTTGGCTATGCAGCGTTTGCAGTGACGACGATGACGACAACACAAAACGATAATAGCGGCATCCCAAACAGAACAAACTTACAGCAGCAGCAACAACAACGACTACGACAGCAACAAAAACACAATGCCATGCAACAACACGCTCAAATGCATGAATAGGGAAAAACTATAAAACCGTATCACCAGCAGCAACAACAACAACAACGAGAACAACTTTTACGAGAATCAAAAGTACACCGACACGAAGCCAACATGCAAAAATCACATACTCACACTTGAATCTCTCGCGAGAGAGCCAGCACTAACAGTTATAGTGGATCACACCTCCCCACTTAGGGCAACCGATAACCACACAAATGCACACACACACATGTCAGACATAGCCCCACAGCACTCTGTGCATTGAATGCAAAAACAAGAACAATAACAAAAAAACAAATGCAATTCAAAACACTGCACACACCGTACTGGAGCAGCAGCGCCAGTGAACACACAGACATACCTCCTTACACCTTTGCAATCGAGCACACATGTACTTCGTCTGTAAGATGACTTTCAAAGAGCATCGATAAAGCTCAGTTCTCTTTAGCCATTAAAATGCCGGTACATTGTAGGATTTGTTAAAAGCTTTCTTCAATTTTGTAAACAAAAATAAATGTTCTCTTTCACTGTGAAACTTTGTTAATTAATATGAGCAAAGGAATGCAGGGCTTAATGGTGCCAAAAGCGGATACGGATATGACGTCTTACTCTGCACAGTGGAAGAGTAGCATGTAAAAACGGCCTTAACATTTAACAGCCTCATCGCTTGGTTAGTGTTAAATGCTAAATAATAATTGCAGGTATCAAAAAGATTGGCACGATTTTTTTAATTTTTTATACCAAATAGGTAATTGCTACCACAAACAATTACTTATTTGGTATAAAAAATTATTTTTAAATTATTTTATTTTATACCACTTTGAAAATGTACTTTAAATTAACACACCATATGTGAATCTACAATGATTACACCCGCGGTAACCTGTTGACAGACTCATTTTATATAAAGTAATTGTGTAATTCGTAGCGATTTCTTGGGATGGGATATGCAAATTGGTATGAAAGGGGGAGAAACTTATGGGATGACCTAATATTTTTGTCTGTTTGTCGAGTCTTTATGCATTTTGACAAAATAGTTTATGAAGAAATATCCAGGGGCATGTTAAGAATAAAAACGCTAATACCCGAAAATGTTTGTTTAAAATGTAAATAAAATCAGAGATCCGCACATAAAATATATATTTTTATTTTGCTATAAAGAGATTAAAACGTTTAATATTGTTCGCTCTGTTGTTATGATATCGTAACAACTCTGAATTTCCCAGGGGCATCAACAAAAAATTTAGCTTAACAAGGAAGGACGGACATAATAATTTCAAAAATGAAAAAAATCAAGAATATGTTTTTTCTGTTTCAGTCATTCCTCAAGTGAGAGAATAATTTTTTATTACACTCTGAAGGCCTGGCTTTTCCCAAAAATTCACTCAATATACGATATACGATATATATACGATATACGATACCGTAACGTACCGTAAAATTTTATCGAAAATGTTGGGTAAGGTTGGTATCTTGACTATAATTACGGATAATAAAAATGTTCGCGGAAAATTTTTTATCCGTGAACAAAAAACATTGTTTTTTTGTTTTTCCATCCAATTTTCGCGGAAATCAATCAACAAAATCAAAAAAATAATCAAAAATCATTAATTTTGGAAAAAATTTTGATGAAAATTAATAGTATAACAGTTTTATAACAGTATAACAGTTAACGGTGCCGCCATCTATTGATTGTTATTCACAATTGTAATGCAGGGTTCGTTACTTTGATGGTTGGTGCAACGAATAAATCCTCAACTAAAAGAAGATACCATATTCCGTTGTTTTGTATATTTATTTTCTCTTGCACCACCTTGTGTCAGATATTAATTTTCCATAAAACACATGAGGTTACAAGGTGACCCCAAAAATATATTTTGTGTTCACAAATTAATTTTCATCAAAATTTGTTCCAAAATTAATGATTTTTGATTATTTTTTTGATTTTGTTGATTGATTTCCGCGAAAATTGGATGGAACAATTTTTGGGAAAAGCCAGCCAGCCAGGCCTTCAGAGTGTAATAAAAATTATTCTCTCACTTGAGGAATGGCTGAAACAGAAAAAACATATTCTTGATTTTTTTCATTTTTGAAATTATTATGTCCGTCCTTCCTTGTTAAGCTAAATTTTTTGTTGATGCCCCTGGGAAATTCAGAGTTGTTACGATATCATAACAACAGAGCGAACAATATTAAACGTTTTAATCTCTTTATAGCAAAATAAAAATATATATTTTATGTGCGGATCTCTGATTTTATTTACATTTTAAACAAACATTTTCGGGTATTAGCGTTTTTATTCTTAACATGCCCCTGGATATTTCTTCATAAACTATTTTGTCAAAATGCATAAAGACTCGACAAACAGACAAAAATATTAGGTCATCCCATAAGTTTCTCCCCCTTCATACCAATTTGCATATCCCATCTTGATCAACTGCCTATGTACCGTTGTATTGGGAATGGTAGTGCCATCCACTATCTATGACGGATTTTCAGTGAGCACAGTCTTGAAAGAGCTCTGGGACAACTGAAACCGATGCCATAAACGGCATAGAGATCCTAATATTATGCATATCGAATTCTGAGCTATCATTTAAATGGTGTAAATCAGTCAGCAAAAATATGTAGTATAAACCCCCTTACTTACTTATGCCCTTACCTTCGCCCACAAGTTTCGAAACGAAATAGTGTAGTTGATTTTTTATTTATTGTTATTTGTTATTAAAATAATGTTAAAATAAAAGTCCTAAAAAGAGTTTTTTTTACGGAAAAAATAAAAATCCCAAAAAGAATTTTATTTTTATTTTTCACCTACTAAATTTTCAACATTGCAATTATTTATTAAAAACCAAGTTTGGTGTTTGTTTTCACTAATTAGGAAAACATTTATCAAGGCGGCATTGGCATATTTCAAGCATTTTCTTAGATATGGGGGGTGGTCCACATTTGAAGCATGGTCCACATTACCAGAAGTTACTCTATTATGGAATATATTATTTTACTTCCTGCGAATTTTTATATTTTTTGTTGCATCGTCTTCTATATTATGTTTATAAAACAATTCTATCCGGGTTAATATATACATATTTTTCTATCATATACACAGCATAATATATCCACGAAACAAAATCTCAAAGTTGATAAACATCGTTCATTTGTGTTGGTGTTATCAGGGTTCATTTTTGGTAAATTATATTAACCGATTTTACTTTGAAAACATTCATCTGACAAACTGTACACACAGAACTTATTATACAGAAGAATCAACAGTAAAAATCCATAAAAGGAACAAAAAATAATAATAATAATTCAATGCGTGGTAGTTTGAAGTTACAATCTTCATTTCGACTCAATCACTTGAAACAAATTTGTTTTGTTATTTTTGTTTACACACGTTCAATCATCAAGTGCATTTGTAGGCCCGTTTTGTACAAAGTTTATATCTGACCGACAGATCTATTAAAGAAAAATGTCTTCCCTATTGTACTTTCTCCAAGAAAAAGCAAGTAAAAAAGTGTCAGTCACTGTTGCCGACAAATACAAATATTAGTAAGTGGGGAAAAAGCATGTTGCCAGCGTGATAAAATAGAAATTGATATTAGAACATCTGGTATGTTCTTTCGGAATGTGTAGAGTATGAATTAATTATTCTCAGTATATTAAAATATCAATTAATAAAAATCCATCTCTCCTTCGAAAAATAATATTTGTTTTTTTTTAAAGAATTTTGACTATAAAAATGCTTATTTATTTTAAGCACGTATCTGACATGACTGCATGCGGTCTAATGCCATTCGTTAAAAAATAATCTGAAGAGACTGGATGAGTACAGACGATTTTGGTCGCAATTGTTTATCAAACACTCGGAGACACAATTGTCTTCGATAAATACAGTGGGAGAAACGAAAATCGAAGAGCCCGGAACAATAGAACGTATTAATTAATTTTTGAACATTACATACCTATATAGTATATATAATATGTATTTTTAGAATTTTAGCAGAATGCTCAATTAACATTTTGACAAAGAAAATTAGGTTAGAAATACACTACTTGGTATGAATAAAAAAAATGAAGCTTTGCTCGTAGGTACATACATACATATTAATGCTATTATGATCCACATAGTGGGCAAGATTCGTCTCGTCTTTAAAAAAACAGGTTGACCCTGAGGAAATGGTAACGTTAAGTTTCGCACGTTTTTTATTATTCGTTGCCGCACAACTGTATGTATATTTTATACACATGCATGTGAATATTTTTCATTCGAATATTGGAGAGTGCAATTTGTAAAGATAAGAGCATAAGTTTTGGGGGGATTCCTCTCTGTTTATATTTACCTGTTCTTTTATAAACAATGTGAAATTCCTCAAACAAAACAGATGAGAGGTTGTAAAGGTATACACGTAAGGGTACAATGAACTTTGTGGTCTGTGCTTATGGAAAGGTGAAAAAGGATTGAGCAAAACAAAAAAATGATTCAAACAAAAGTCAACAGTTTGGTAGAGTTTGGCACATTGATCATTTTTGTATACATATAAGTATGAGAGTTATGCCTTGAGTGAAAATCAAAAATCTAAATTTTATTCTAAAAATATACAAAATAATGCAAACATTTTAACATGATAATTGGTTTTTGGAAATAAAACATTTAGAAAATTCTTATTATAAAATATTTCCTATTCATATATGCAATATTCTATTAAGTGAAAAACACAAATAATTAAAGAGGATTTGAACTACATACAAATATTTTATTTATACGAACTCGAGTATTTCAAAATGCTTCCAAGAACCATAAAGAGTTAGAGGATTTCATTATAAATTCAAAGAATTGCATTTAAAATTCACAAACATCCATTAGAAATTTTTCAAATTCCATTTGAAATTCGTAACAATTGATTTGAAATGCATAACATTGCAGTTGTTATTCATAAAATTTAATTTTAAATTCCAGCAAAAATATGTAATACATTAAGGTGGTTAATAATGTATGTAGCATATTTAAAGTAGATTTGTGAAGATCCCATATATTGAAAAACAATTATTATAAGTTTTTAACATTTTTACTTTATAAAATATAAGGTTGGGGAAAAAGATATCCAATATTTTTCCGCAAATGGCTGTACTGATAGATTTCTCGTAAAGTATCGATCAAAAATTTCAGATTTATGCTCGTAGGAAGGGTGTTTGGTGCATTCTGTTGTGAGTTAAAAATGGAAGTGAACAAAGAGAAAATTTGGTACATTTTACACTTTTTCTTTGACAAAGGCGAAAGTGCAAGCCAAGCGGCTAAAATTGTGAACGGTGTTTATGGTTCCGATACTGTAACAGCCAATGATGTGCAATTTTGGTTTCGTAGATTCCATTCAGGAATTTTTGAGGTTAAAGCTGCACCTCGCACAGGTATGCCGGTCTTCGAAAATGTCGATAAAATCGGAGAAATAATCGAAGTACAAGTGAAATGTTATGAATTTCAAATTGAATTCTTTGAATTTTTATTAAAATAAACTCTATATGGCCAAAAATGTCCCCTGTTAAATACAAAATCAAATGATATTTTTATATGGGACGCTGAAACTTCACAAAATCGGATATCCGGCAGTTTTACTCGATATTATTATAGGTACATACAAATTATGTGGATAACCAAACATCCCTGTCGTTTGACCTACAACATAGGACAAAGTTATACTTAAAAAATAATTAAACAGCCTGTAATGGGATCAAAATGGATACCACACCAATATTATATTTATAAATGTATAATACTCGTATTGAATGCCCCACTCCTGTAAACGTGACATTTACACAACATTGGAAAAAACATAAAACGTACAAACAACAGACCGAGCTCTTTTGCCACATGACAGGCCTCTCGCAAACAAACGTCTCTACAACGGCAAAAGGTCACCTTGGAACAGTCAGTCAGTCAGTGGTGGTTTCCCAAAAATACAACAACACTACCAGTACTAGTCACGACCATACGGACGTGCGTTAGCAGAATGCATTAACCATAGTAACAACACGCAAACACACATCCACATGCACGTACACCCGAACGAACAGAGAGTGCTGCTGTCTGTTACTTCTCTCGGTGTGACTCAAAAAGAACACTGTTTTCATTGAATACCAAGAAATTTCGTCATTATATCCAGCCAACGCTAATCACGGGGAGTTTTGGGGGGTAAGGCAAATGTCTGAACGTCTGGATTGGGTTGTGATACCCACAGAAAGAGATCATGACAGAGTCACAACAAACCCTATGAGTGAGTGAGCAGTGATGACGTCGTAGTGGTCGTGTTGATGACGATTTTGTTTGATGTATGGCGGCTCTTTATAAATAACGAAATAACGGCATAACCGGCATAATATCTTCTCATTGAGTTGAGTGTGATTGAGCGCGAGAACCTCGTCCGCATCGAACGTACAAACAACCAACAAAGAGATTTAACAATACAAAACTTACTCCTCCAGCAGACGGCCGTCTAAACAAAAATCCAAATTGAAACATAAATTCAGTTCACAAAACAGTTCGTTTTCAAACGGCTAACAGTGCAGACGTCCCCAAGTAAAAACATTTTCCTTTGAAACCGTAGTGAATCCCAGTGTAAAAAAGTGAGTGTATTCCACCAATAATAAAATAAAAAAAGAAAATAAAGAAAAAAGCAAACAACAGATGAAAGAAAAATAATTACCCGCAAAGATACAAATCAGAAATTTGAGTTGCAACAACGAAGTGCATTCGCCATGAGACAGACCAGAATTTTTAGTTATGAGGGACAACATTTATTGTTGTAATTGAGATATTCGGTTTGCGTTCAGTGATCTCATTTTGATGTCATAGTGATTGTTATTGTAATTTAATTTTTTTGTCAATGCAAGTAAAACAAATTATTATTATTTTCTTCGTCACAAGACTGGAATGTGTATATTTTAATTTAAATATATACATTAATTTGCTAAGTTATTTTTATCTCCTTGAGTATCACAGGATAGAATAGAAAGGGTTCTACCTACGACATATAAAATAAGGATATGTGAAAGGGCATTCTACAGCTTTCGAAAGTGAACTCTACATATGCATATCATAAATAGTCTGATTATTGAAATCCATTAAATTTTTATTTGAGAGAAACATTTTCCATCCAGATAAATTTAAAACAAATCCATTAACGTAGAATTTGTAAATTGCACCTATAGGCCTATTTAAAAAAGAAAGATGAGGAAATGAATCAAAACCCTCGAAAAGCTAATAATTCTCATAGAATAGGATATTTATCACACATTTCGTCAAATTTCAGTTTCAGAATTGTTTGGAACTAGTTGGTTATACCCATATTGAGTACATCAAAAAGACAGAAATCAGCCTGGCTATTAAATAAAAAAATGAAATAATTTCATAATTTATAAATTTTTGATAGCTGTTTAGGTTTTGAAAATTTTTACTACTTTTGAATTTTGATGTACTATGAAAAATCTTTATAACTATAACAAATGTTTTAGTATGTATATGATTTTAACTCATCCAAATTGTTTCCCCATAATTTTCGATATCATAGTGAAACATATGGAAATAAATTCGAATTCTTTTCTGAGCATTCAATGTGGTTTTGCAATTTATATCCATATTTATATCCATTATTATTATTTCCATTGAATTGCCTTGCCATTTTGTTCTTTCAATAATTTCACAACAAATGTATTCCGCTGCTTCTCCACCACTATCCTCCTACCAACATCACGAGTTTATTAACCTTAACATGCCCTTGTAACAACTCACTTGCACTTTTTAAAGGGAACATGCGCAGTAAATTTCCTCCAGGAATCAGCTGCTTGTGTGACTACATCCCGGAATTCCTGAACACAAAACACACCCAAATACGAACAGCAGACAGCCAAAATTTGACTTTGAAATGCGTTGAAGGTCACATAGTGGTGATTCCGACATAATAAACTCACTACCCACTTCAATAGACGCGTCTACCCCTGCCCTTGTCAACTCTCCCATCCACTATTTGTCTACTTGTCAAACTGAACATACGAGTGTTCTTATTGTTGTTGTAGTTCAATATGCGGGACGATAAGATAATAATTCTTATATATTTATGAACAAAACAAATATTTTATAACTAATCTATCTTGTTTTATGCATTTAAATGCAATGTGAAATAATAATTCAAGTCCAAATATACCTAATCATATCAGTGTAACTGATATCATTCAATAATTGCTGCGATTAGACGAGTGTTTGAAATTTGATTAGTAATTGTTTAAAGCTATTAATAAACAATTGATTGACAAATGATTCATAAATTATGAGGCACGAGACTGAAATGTGATATTATTCGTATAAATTTACATAGAAACGTACATATCGTTTGTTATTGTAGAAATGTGGGAAATTCTTAACAAAAATATTAAAAAGTATTCAAATATTATTCCCAAAATAAGAATTTATAATTAAAAGACCATATCTTATATAGGAAATTATTCTTATCTCAACAAATGTGACTATGAATATTTCAATATTTTATGATTTTTTTGTTGACAATGGTTTTAGTGGTTGATACTTCAGACAGCACGGATTTTTATTTAAACTGGGACAATTTTTTGAAAATAGAAAGAATTTTTCTTTAAAATTTAAAAAAATATATATATTTTTATTTTCTTTAACAGTCCAGGAGGATCGGTATAATCCCACATAAATACCGCTCTTATGCAGTCAGAATTACCTCCTATGTCTTTTTGGCTTACCTATGGTCCTAAATTATAGTTTATGGTTTTTATTTTTTAGATTTATATTTCCTTTCTAAACTTTTCTCTTTCTTCGTGGCATATCTTCTTTGCCTTTCGAGAATATCTAGCTATTCGCTGAACAATATAAGTATGTATATGTACATGCGTGCGTTTCCTATGTTTTGGATATTTAAAAATACTTTCTCAACCATTCCATTAAATTGACCTTGGTGAAGGTTATAACTAGCGATCCTAGACAAGCAATATGTTTATTTGTTTGCCTATGCATGTCCGACTCCCCCGCTATGAAATATTAACGCAACAGCTAGTGTGGGTCGCTGTTGTTTTCATCAACAGCAGATACGGATGAATTTTATTTAGGTCACACGTGACATTTAATTGGCTCATAAGTGGAAAGGAAGAACATTCTAAATTAGAATTAATGTTATTAATAATAAAAAAATGTGCGGTCATGTTGACATTTTTAGATTATTTTATATTGTTACGCACATTCGGTCACTTTAGGCGATGTTTGTTTTTGAATAAATGAACATACAATAAACTTTATAATTAAAAAGTATATTGTAAAAAAAATAAATAAGTTGAGGTAGGGCATTCCGATGTCCAAGGAGATGTCGCCACTCTATATATATTTGTGGGTTTTAGTAAATAAATAATTTTATTATTTTAACAGAATCCTTTATTTACCTTTCTACTATTTGCTTTCCTTTCATTGCAGCTCGCTAAAATAATAAAATGGCTTCAGTCAAGGATAATCTCATGAACCAAGTTGCCGAGGTTTTGCCCTCATCTGGCAACAAAGTTACCATTGTTGGTATCGGCCAGGTCGGTATGGCCTGTGCTTTCAGTATCTTGGCACAAAATGTCTCCAGTGAAATCTGCCTCATGGATGTCTGCAAGGATAAGTTGATGGGTGAAATGATGGATTTGCAACACGGTTCCAATTTCTTGAAGAATCCCAAAATTACCGCCAGCACAGATTTCGCCGATTCGGCCAATTCCAGATTGTGCATTGTCACCGCCGGTGTCAGACAAAAGGAGGGCGAATCTCGTTTGTCCTTGGTCCAACGTAATACCGACATTTTGAAGAACATCATTCCCAAGTTGGTTGAAAACAGTCCCGACACCATTTTGTTGATGGTCTCCAACCCCGTCGATATTATGACCTATGTTGCCTGGAAATTGTCTGGCTTGCCCAAAAACCGTGTCATTGGTAGCGGTACCAATTTGGATTCGTCCCGTTTCCGTTTCTTGATGTCTCAACGTTTGGGTGTTGCTCCCACCTCCTGCCACGGTTGGATTATTGGTGAACACGGTGACAGCTCTGTACCAGTGTGGTCCGGTGTCAACATTGCCGGTGTTCGTTTGCGTGAATTGAACCCCAACATTGGCTCCTCTGAAGATCCCGAAAAGTGGAACGAAGTCCACAAACAGGTTGTAGACTCTGCCTATGAAGTTATCAAGCTAAAGGGTTACACCTCATGGGCCATTGGTTTGAGCACAGCCTCCTTGGCCTCAGCCATCTTGAGAAATACCAGTGCAATTGTTGCCGTTTCTACCTCTGTTAAGGTAAGTTGAAACTTTGTGCCAAATGTGTAACATCCCATACTAAACATTTTGCTTTTAATTTGTTCCAGGGTGAACATGGTATCGATAAGGATGTCTTCTTGTCCCTCCCCTGTGTTTTGAATTCCAATGGTGTTACCCATGTCGTCAAGCAAATCTTGACCCAAACCGAAATTGATCAATTGCAGAAATCGGCCAACATCATGGCTGAAGTACAAGCTGGTCTTAAATTCTAAATATGCAAACAATTTTGACCTTAAACACAAATTTTAGCTTTTATCAAAAACAAAACAGAATATGGTAGCGGAATTGAATTTCAATTCCCTGCTAATCAACACACAATCTACCTAAGTAACTATAGGCTAATTCTACAAGTATTTGTTATTTATTGTAATATTTTATGTTTTATTTCAACAACTATAAATGTGTCTTTAGTTATTATGTTATCTTTTCCTTTTAATTTTATTAACAATAAAACTATTTAATTATACCTTAAAACAAATTCAATACTTTTCTTTTATTTTTATTTTCAATGGTTTATATTTAAATTAAGAACAAACGTACACGAATTGTATGTAAATGAAATAAAAAATCAAATACTATAAATCAACCGCTACTACCTCATTAGTGGAAATTTGTTAAATTCAGCTAATAGTGGGCTGATACAATTAGTCAAATATTCTTTTGAATGTAAGCTATAAAACTGTAAAAAAGCAAAACAACAACAAAAAAAGCACATTTCATTTTCAATAAATTTTAGCACAATTGTAAAATAGACTTTTTTATTTATCAAACAAAAATAATGCTGAAGTTACAATTGGTACAATTCCAATACGAAACGATTTTAATAATTTATACACAATTTGGTACTGTACACATGTTTGCCCTCAAAAGTCTGCGTTGGCCATTTTCGAGGCTAATCTAGGTTTGATCAAAATATAACGATTTGCAAAGTTTGGATAAAGCAGTGAACTGACAGTGAAAAGTTTCGATGAAAAACAGTGTGATGTTCGTATTAATTTCTTAGTATTCATTATTTTTATTTATTGTAGTTGAGATTATCACATTTTCGGCCCCATTAGTCTATTGAATGATAAAATCAACTTTCCCATCCCTGCCAATCTATACAAGTGATATTAAAAAACAACATAAAATTCTTACCTGAGAGAAAACCTCATATCCAATTTTTTACTCTCCTAAGCTCACGAGAGCCATAGAGATCAAACGGCGACGGCTGCAGCGGCGACGAAGACTGCGACGACAACGATTGTTCAGACGACCGAAGATGACACAAAAAACGTAAACAAACGAAACCAAATCAAATGGTAGAAAAAACACTTAGTCCAATTGTATTTAACACAACATTTTATATTGGCAAATAATCATATTTTCAATATTTTGATAAATTTAATTAAAACACTCGAATCAAACACATTTTACTTTGCCAATAAATTAGATTTGCAAGGAGGAATAATGATAAAATAATGACAAAAGAACACAAACACACAAAGGGGAAAACAAGCACAGAACGTAGATGGGCGGCCATCTTGAAAATAAAAACTAAGCACAAAACTAAAAACGCGATCAAATTAACAGTTTTAACAACAATATCGGATTCACTGGATTGTTTTTAAGTAATTATAATTAAAGTTTTAAGTAAATATAAATTAAAGAAAACACCACTCGCGAAACTCCCGATAAATTACTCGCGCCCGGTTTCAATGAAAACACAAAACAACTGAAGAGAATATAAGTGTAGAGTTGCCCTACTCAATTTAATTAGATCGAAAATGTGATGGTGGGGAGCTACCAAAACGAGTGAACTTATAAGTCCCATATTCGGAGTTAATCTAGATGTGGAAAAAAATGTACAATCTATACTAATAAAAGAGTAAAGTGATTGACTGAGTGACTTAACGACTCATCAACCCCCAGACGAAACGGCTTAAGGTAGAATCTTAAAATTTTGGGTGAGAGTCACTCTTGGTCCAAATCTAACAGATAAGGCTGGGTTTTTGGAAATTCGTACTAGAACGGTGCGAAAAGTACTAAATGTATACCATTTGTATTTGGCGAACCGGTGGAGCTAGAACTCTGATTTGGATTGGTGGTCTTGATGGAGTTGGGGTATGAAGGATGTTTTGGAAATTCGTACTATTGTGTACAAAATTTGGTACAATTTGAATTGTGTGAGAACCGATAGAATTGGAATCCTGAAACTTGGATTTAGGATCACTGTTGGGGTGTAGGATTGAAATATGTAGGAAGTATTGGAAAATGCTACTACTGTGTACTAAATTTGGTACAATTTGAATTGTGGGTGCATAGATAGAGTTGGAATCCTGACACTTGGCTTTAGAATCACTGTGGGGTGTAGGATTGGGGTATGCAGGATGTTTTGGAAATTGGAACTACTGTGTACTAAATTTGGACAATTTGAACTGTGGGTGAACCGATAGAGTTGGAATCCCGAAACTTGGACCTAGGATCACTGTGGGAGTGTAGGATTGATGTATGTAGAATATTTTGGAAATTGGTACTACTGTGTACTGAATTTGGTACAGTTTGAATTATAGGCGAACCGATAGAGTTGGAATCCTGGAACTTGGATTTAGGATCTTGTGGGGGTGTAGGATTGGGGAATGTAGGAAGTTTTGAAAATTCTTACTACTGTGTACTAAATTTGGTACAATTTGAGTTGTGGGTGGACAGATAGAGTTGATATCCTGAAACTTGGATTTAGGATAACTGTGGGGATGTAGATTTGAGTTAAGTAGGAAGTATTGGAAATTCGTACTATTGTGTACTAAATTTGGTACAATTTAAATTGTGGGTGAACCATAAACTTGGAATTCTGAAATTAATATTTGGAATCATTGTGAGGGTGTAGGATCAGGGTATGCAGGAAGTTTTGATGGATGGTTGAGGTAGGTACACTTGGAAATAATGTGTGCTAAATTTGAACCTGTGGAGATCGAATCATGAAATTTGGTACTAAATTGTACTCAAATTTCATTTATGGTCGATTTTAATGTGTGGATAGCTTAGTTTTTCAGACATATGCAGTTTTCTGTGAAAATAAAATAATATGTTAATACATGTTTAAATATATCCCACATTCGCTAACGAAGTAGCGGGCATATGCTACTACAATATTTTGATTAAATAAGAAATTCCCTTGGCTTGATATTGGATTAACATATTTTCAAAAAAATTACACTTGGAGTGAGAGATAACAGAAAGAGTGGACCGACGGGTTGCATCTTCGAACTTGATCTATGTAAGAAAAGCATATTATGAGATTTTCAAAAGGAGAGGACCAATATTCTTCATCTTTGAACTTGATTTAAGTTGGGAAGAAATGTTACGATGAGCAAATTTCGGATGAAATCTGTTACTCCCTTCAAGAGTTATCGTGCACACCAGCCGGTCAGACAGGCGGACGAACGGACATTTGTGAATCGACTCCATTGTCTGAAACGGATAGATTAGTAGTATGGATATTATATTATGCCCTCAGTGGTACTAGATAAGAATTATCTGAGACTTATGCTATATTACTGTTAGGCAAATGTGTGTTTAATTATAGACTTTTATATAAAACAATAACAAATTTAAAGATCCAAAGAAATTCATCTCCAACTAGATTAGTTGGCGCACTTCTTAAATTCCCATTTTTGAAACATTCAGACATGGCAATGACCAAGCCCTGCATAGCATCAACATGTAGAAAGGCACATTACACTAGAACATATGATGATCATATATCGAAAAACCAAAATTAATTATAATGTTTTGAAACTAACACTTCTGTTAGTGTTGCAAGAGTTAACGCAGAGTAAATACAAATATCATCATAATTATAATTAATTGTATTATTATTATTTTGCTTTATATCTTTGACTACAAATTGTTGTAGTAGTAAATTAATATTTGGTGGCTACGTTGAATTACATTTTCCCACCATCTAACCATCTTTCTCAAAATATATTTCAGCTGTTACCAATCGAAAGAAAGTTTATATAGCTATTTGATGGCGCTGTCTTTATACGGAACTTTTTGCCATCAGCTATTACAGACTTCCGATATTGCACAACACCTACAGAGAAAACGTGACAACTTCTGTGCTTCATATCAAACCAAATGTATCAGCTAAATCCAACTGGCATCGGTCTATAAGAACAGATTGACGAACACATTTCTTGTCAATTAAGATTAAGATCGGAACAAACAAAGAATGATTCGATGTTGGATAATCGTGTTGTGTTTAAGCTGCAGCACACTCTGTGAGGCATTGTCTGTGGAACAAGTACAACAAAAGAATATAGAAATTTTAACGGAATACTTCAATAAAGGATGGAAAGAGTTCTGTAAGTTACACCGCGCATGTTGAGCGACACTTTTGTTCTCAGTATACTCATTTCTGTTACAGGTGATGCTCCTGTGGATGAGGGTGTGATGTCCCTTTACAATGGCATCAATCCCAGTGACACGACCATACATGTCCTTACTATCAATAATCAAAGTGTAGAATTGCCCATACGTTCGTTATCGGAAATACGCGATTTTGATATAAATCCCAACCGGAAAACGTTATTATATGTCAATGGGTTCTACACAGATGACAGCTATTTCAGCATCCAGGCTCATTTGCATATGTTGCAGGCTCGTCGAAGGGATCTCAATGTTATTGTGGTGAATTTCGCCAAGGATATGCAGCAGCTGTATTATGCCCTTAGGCATCACCTGACCTTGCACGGTTATTTTATAGCCAAAATACTTTCGGTGTTGGTTGCAAATGGTGTTGATCCCAAGGATATAACATTGGCCGGGCATTCAGTGGGCGCCAATGCCGCAGCATTGGCTGCATCGATCTACACCACTGAACACATGAATAATTATTCGGCATTATCCATAATAGATCAATTAATTGCCATAGATCCGTGTTCGTATATATGTGATTCGGATGATATATTTGTTCGGCGCAATATCACGTCACGTGTTGTGGTGATTCACGGCGAGGGTAATTTATTTGGTGTACGAGATCCTTTGGGCACCATTGACATATATCCCAATGGCATTGGTTTTTATCCGAAACGTAGAATGCAACCTGGCTGTGAGAGTTGGGTATGTAGCCACATGTATCCATTTCTTTTGTTCATGGAATCACTGGTGGAAGGTGTTGGCATTACGGCTGTCAAATGTGAAAATTGGATGCAATTTAAGGATGGTCAATGTAATTATACGGACACAATAAATATTGGTATAACCTATCCGGTTACGGCTAAGGGGCTATATTTCTGTACTACCCAGGCACAGCCGCCGTTTACATTGAATGAAGATGGTTTGGAATATCGAAGTAGAAATAGTATTCTGAAATAGAAGTGGGTGTATTAATTCAATTATTAAAAACAAAAACAATAAATATTAGCTATTTAAAAAAAAGTTTAATGTTTTCATTATAAATTCTTACTTCCATTTCTCCTTGATTATGGAATATTATGCATTCCCTGAATCAATTGAACGGTATTATTAAGGTAATTATCAGGAAATGAAATTGTTCGTAATTATGTACAAATAATCCATGTTTCTGAACAAATTATTTGACTACACTAAATCTTTTAAAAATCATATATGAATGTATAAATCACATTTTATTTTTATACCGTCGAGTACGTTTATAACGAACGTTCTTAACGTTTTCATAAAAATCTTTACTTTTTATAGCGAAATACGGATATTGCGAGCTATTTTATAACGAACTATTACTATAATCGTTCTCCACTGTACATATTTTCATTTATTTTCTTTGTCTCAATTTCAAATAATGTTTCCTATTGTAATATGTTTTGTATTAGCCCAAAAGTATGCCTTAAAAAATCCAATTAATTGCTATTGAAAACATGGTTGGCAGTTCTCAACGTAAACACCTAACAGCTGATGATGAACATCTGTTGATCTTTTCTGTTGCATGTGTGTATGTGTTGCGTATCCCCCCGTCATGAATACCAAACAATCCGAGAGAGTCCATTAACCAAAGAGAGTAAGCCAAAGTATTTAAGCCAAGATCTCATTGTTGGTCATGGCTAATTCGATGAGAACGAGAGCGCTGTCGACAATGTGAATACCAAGTGTGATGCCAACAGGTTAATAACGATACTGGTACAAGCCGTCTGAGCACAGTTTCGGCACGGGTCTCAAACGTATACGTTGTGTGTATTACAGAAGCGGAAATGCGCGTATGGAAACTTTAAAAGAGAAACAAAAAATATTTTTAATTCGAAACAAAAGAAGTGATTATAAAAACGGGGCGCAAACGAAATCCAACAAAATAAAAAAGTCAAAGTGTGGAGACCCCGAGATTAAAATCAACAAAAAAGCAAACGTAACAAAAAAATGCTCTATGATGCATAGATAATTGCTGTGCTGTAACAAAAAAAAAAAAAGAAACAAAAAAAATGTATGAAATTGAAATTATTGAAAAATATGGCCTTGTAAATGGGAAATAAAGAAGAAAATTTCGAGAAAGAAAATTAAAAAAAGAAAACAAAATACATGCGAGTTGAATTCCCCTCCAACAAGAAGTTGACAAGGTGTTGATGATAAAGACAAAGAAAGAATCAAAGACCAGTTTGGAAATGGAAAAAATTGCAGATTTATTCCAACACCGAATAAATATTAAAAATTATGCAAGTTGGATGTGGCAGTGACACCAGCCAATTCCACGATTGATTTATTGGGAAACAACGTTGATATATTTATCATTTTATGGGATGTTTCGACAAAAATGTTGCTTCCAAAAAACTTGTTAATTTTTTATGGAATATTTTTTCTCTCTCGAGCCACAATAATAATTTATTAACAACAACATTTTTGTTAATTTAAATTTGTTTTTTTTTTTGTTTGTTCGCTTGTGTGTTGTTGTTATTGTATAGCCGTCGATGTTGTTTTTGTTGTTGTCGTTATTCACATTATTATTGACTTTCATTTATTGTGTTAGCTTGACTTAGAGGTTGGAATTTGTCTGGCTTAAACTTCAGGTTACAGTTTTGTTTCCACTTTATTTTCACACATGTGTGTTTGCGTCTGTCCGTTTGCCCGTCCATCGGTCTATCTGTCTGTCCGTCTCTCGGTATGTTGTCAAAACCAGTGTCTGTCTCTATACACACTTTTATTGTAAATTAGCCAATTCTTCTCTTGACTTGACTTGACGTTAGTCGCTCGTATTAATTGCAACAATGCCGCACTTGTTGTTATTACATTAAATTGTTTTCCATGTAAAAAATACAATCTATCGATCGGAATTATTCCCCAAATCAATTTGAAAATAAAGTGTCTTCTTTCTCCCCTTTTAGAAATTGAAACTTGAATCGCTGATAATTTGGTCTCTTCTCTTGGCAAATTTGTTTATTCTCTTCATAGCTCTCATTGAAAGTGGCTTAAATACAACACTGCTATTGTTGTTGTTGATTAAAAACAATAATATTGAAAATCTATACTTCAGATTTGAATAGTAGATGGGATCGATGATATAATAATCGTAATGAAATGACAATATCAATGAAGGGCAAGTAGGATTGATTAAAGGATATTTAGCTTTAAATTGACATTGGCAGAGAAAAGAATAGAAAATACTGTATAATAATCTAATAAGAATATGCTAATCCCCAATTTTGTTAGAATGTAAGTTCTAAAATGAAATAAGTGCTAAAATGTGGTATTACAGAAAAAAATTAAACAAAAACGAATTATGACTACCTGATGATATCTCAGAATAGCTTTTGTTTTCTCGATATTTGGTAACAATTGTTATCAAATGATACTGGATGCTGTCTGTTTACCCCAAAGTCCTTTAAAAGAGAGCGCTAGAACTCTAAGAACTTACTGAATGTATGTTTCTTCTAGTAAGATTTACCCAGCACAACTCGATGCACTTCAATCGGTCGTTAATTTAAATAAAGTAAAAAGTAAATTTTAAAGCATTTTAAGTGAAATTATGAAGGAAGGTTAGGAATTTTCTACAAGTGAAATTAAAGAAAATTTTGAAAGAAATACCTAAGAAAAAGTAAAAACACAAAACTGCATTTGGTGTAATAATGATTATAAGGAACAAATAGATTTGGGATCATATTAGACTTGAGAACATCGAAATATATCTAAACCACATTTTTTCTACATGGTTGGTTGGTTGAAAGGTATGCAAGGCAACTTTCAAAGGAGTAATCCGTTACACCCCATATATAACACATCATAATATTGCCCGAACTTTGATATTTTTTTAAAGATAAACAATATCAGCTAATTAAATTTGGTACATTTTCCAGAAAGGGACCACGCCTTTCTTGTAAAGATTTTTTATAAATAAATGCTAACGTTATTCAATTAAATTTGGTACATCGTGATATTTCAATCAATCTTTAAAAGATTCGAAAATTGACTATCTCGACCCATCCATCCACTTATGACACCTACCCTAAAAAAGACGAAAAATTACACATCGTCGATTGTTTCATTTTTAGCAATTTTTAAAAGACTATAATTTGAAACTCCTACTCCTTCATGTAATATGTATTTTTTAAAATAAAATGTCCCACAAGATTATTGAATGCAGAGTCGCATTCAAGAGGAAGATCATGTTAAACTGCAGTGTATTTGTGAACCCATTTTCAATGTAATACCCTTTCGTTTCATTTCAAAACATGTCGGGAGAATTCAGTTTATCTAACTGATTTGATATTCGATCCAATCTATTGTATATGCATGCTCACGATGCTATGTTGCCTAGGTAACAACCTCAAAACCAATCGAGTATCTATACTCAGCTGAGAGTGTTTGCTGGCTAGAGTTACAAATATGGTTACTGTTCGCCCAGTGTATTGCCAGAGCAGAGACCAACAAACTATTATTGTTTGTTTGTCGTTCATACATTTCCACACATAACTAAATACTACGATCGCTGGTTTGCTTATTTAAACGATGGGTGTTTTGGTGGCTTAACGATTACGTTAATTTTTTGTTTTATTTTACGATAGTATTTCGCTGTTGCCCAGGTATTACATATTCAATTGTGATTTTGGCCCCAAAAAATAATAATAAAAACAACAAAAACAAAATAAACAAAACTAACTAAAAAACGCTTAACAGCCGACATAACAAAAACAACCAGCAACAGACGGTAGTGACAACATCAATCGCTCGCTTGATTTTGAAGTGTCCAGAAAAAAAATGAATGCGTCCAAATATCTTGTGAATAATATTGATTTTGTTGTTGTTGTTGTTACATGGAATCAATATCAATGGCGTTTGAATGTAACAATCTTTGTGTATCTATATTTAGATTTTCAGTTTAAATTTTTTGCGGCATCATTCTAAGACTGGTTTTCTGGAGTCAAGTGTGTTCGACACGTTTTGATTCGCCATCTTTGTCGTCTCCTTTTTGGAGGGGAATTCACTCATCCCAAATAGCCATTGGGTCTGAATTGTTGTGAACGCAATTTGTGTATTTCTTCGATATTTATTAATTATTGTTTTTGTGTATCTATTTTTTTGTTTTTCATATAGGTAAGTAATATTTTTTGTCATTTCTAAAAACAAAAACATCAATTTTAATAAATACACATGTATGTATGTACATATTTGTTTAATTGTTGTCATGGTTGTTTTCTTTCTTAATTAATTGTTAATTATTGCCAATTTTGGTTATTGTTACTGTATACTCGTATTTCAGACAATGTCGCTAATGTTTACTTCTCAGTTAATTATGTTTGCTTATATGGCAGAACATTTACTCATGACTGACGATGTCCGATCTACTTTGGATTCAATAAAAATGTATATCAATAAATAAATCATGACATATGTATGAGTGCACTCGTATGCTATGAATAGGTTCTAAACCATTTCGAATGCATTTTTTTCGAGAAAATACTATAGTTTATAGTATTATTTATCAATAATCTTTTAAGGAACATTTTAAAGGAACACCAACCATGGGAATACCTCTGTAGGAAAACATCCGTTATTTTAGTAAATTTCTATAAATAATTTAATTTTTGTTTTATCTTGTTCTCTTCAGCTTTGTACTGAAGTTAGATTTTTTTCTTAGAAAGTAATGATTTCTTTGCTGTTATCTGGATTAATAGTTAATACATTCCTCAGAGTAGTCCTGTTGACCTCTCTGTACTGTTGAATTGCAAAAGCTGACATTAACTGCTAAAGTGTTCCAGGTTTTGCTGTGTTCACTTCTACGAATATCATTTCCCAAACTGACCTTTACTTTACTTAATAGTTTTTTCATATGATCAAAGACATTTCGCCACAATGAATCCGTTTCAGACAATATTTTCGTAGTCATGGAATAAGTCTGTTGCTGTTCTCGGTTC